CAATGTTTATTCAGTTTGATAGAGCAGTAACATTTAATTACAATTAAGCATTTAATTAAATTAAGCATTTAATTCGAATACATAAGATTAAGAAATTATTTTGAGACGTTATCTTTGATGGAAGTATTAGATTTTTTCAAAACATTATGAAAGCAACTGGCATTTATCCATAAGGATCCGCATTCCATGAAATCCTCGTAATAATCGGTGTACTATTTCATATATGACAATGACTGGCTCAACCAATTTTACTTAGAGATGCTGTGCATATTATAACATTTTGTGTCATAACAAATAATTAGAACATATGCTTTGGATGACGAGATTTAGATATATTTCAACGTCATATCCTCGATCCTTTGATTATGCGTATTTACTTAACGTGAACTCAATCTTTCAATGTAGCTGCTATAAATCGGTATAATGTTATTCACTTATATATGCCAGGATGTAAACGATCACCAATGGAATTCTCTTTTAATGCAACAACACTTCTGATGACATGATTTGTTCAAGATGAATAGTTGATTATATAGCAGATTCTTTCGTTATGCAAGGAATTAAAGTCATGATGCCGCCATATATACATATATGGCGGCATCATGACTTTAATATATACATATGTATATACCAACACTGGGTACACTTAGCAGCCTGTTTGAATCGCGTGTTTTTAGCCCTGGTCGCCGCCATGCACGATCCATAAAGCTCTCAGCAATCACACTCTCATTCGAGTATCCCCAATGGCTTTTCGATTTTTATCTCCAACTCGTATGCAGCAATACCCTTCTGAATGTCCTGAAAAGCCGCGCAGTAATTAAAATCGCAAGAAATCAATGGAAAATCAAGTGGCAGGTTTCTTTTCAGGCTGGAATTACTCACGAACAATTTGTTCTATTCAATCGCTATTTTGCCCTTCGATTCTGAAAGAAACTTCACGTTAAACAGGACCCCATTAAAAATGTTCAGCGTAATCGACTTATTGAAAGCTTCAGACGGGCATTTATTTAACTTTTTCTACTGACACTTTGATGACAGGAATCTCGATCGCTGGGAAATGGAAAGAGCAAAGTGAATAGAATTTAAAACGTCGTTGAAACTCGAGCTTGTCTTGGTTTATTCATTTTTTGCCTCGTGTAGGGAAAGTTTAACATACTCGGAATAAAAAATTTGTTCATTTTGTCAACCTGTATTATTTATTGTGAAGTTTCCAGTTAGCGAATAACCTTAAGATTGAGATTGAATCTAATATTTTCAGAATATTTAAGCTTGTTAGCTTAGGAAATGACAACAAGGTTAACCGTTGCAGCAGAACACGAGTAGTTTAATCGAGAATTCAGCAATCCGTTTGCTCGCGACGCCTCCAGCATCAGGCTTAATCAGCAATATCGAATGCGAAGTTGTCACCTCCAAACCCTTTCACGCCCGATTTAAAGTCAATTTTTTTTAATTCGAGAATTTTTCGAAGCTCGCAATGTTGCATCTATGGAAATTTCAGTCGCTCGATCAGCATTACCGGCATTCCAACGCTGATATGAATTTTCCGCTTCACGATATCGAGCTGAGTGAATTTTTTTGCGAAACAGAGAAATAAAATTGGTAGTTAACGTACGTTTATATGAAATTTACCTGCGCTGGTACATTTCAATTGTCATTTTTTTGTTGTTGGTTGTAAACAAATTTCATATGGAAGATTGGGTTGATGAGGCAATCTTTGGTTCAGCACTTGTTAAATCACCAAAATCACCTTAAATCACCTTGATTAACATTCCTTTATTCGTTCGTTCAAATAAACTATAAAGATTATTTCATATTACGTGTTTCTTGCAGCTTCTTTTATTATCACAGTCTCCACAGAAATTTGTGAGTGTAATATGAATTGAATGTTGTTTTTAATTTTGCTGCGCCGAAAACGCATCGGCGGCAAAACACATTAAATTATAATTTTAGATTTCGAAACGTTTTACTCTTTTGCGGCGTAACTTTTATTCGCAATCAAATTTGTCTCTCTTTCTTGCAATTTTCGGTTTATTTATTAAAAAAAAAACTTAAAATATCAGTGGCCTCAGATAACCTCGCCTAAATATTTATCGCTATGCGCCATGCAAACTTTTCAATTCACACGAAGAGAAATGGATGACACTTTGTCCCATTAGCGATTCGCTTCTTGCTTTGGTGTAGGTCAACCAGAACCGAGTTTACCCGGCAAAAAGGCATATCAGTGCTACGTGCCTAAAGTGTCCCTATTTGGAATATATGACCCAGTTATTATTTTGAGTGCGTTGAAGAATATTTATTAGGTATAACATAATTCGGTGATTATAACGCCGCATCAATCAATTGTAGCAGCACTTTTGCCTCGCAAAATTCACACTCAATAATATAAGTGTGATTTTGTACAACTATGCGATGTACTTGCTTCTACAGTGTGGGTCATCTGGACCAATTTTTGCCCAGGAAAAAGTTCCGTCTGTGCTACGTCCGCTCCCTGTTGATGCTATGAGGAAGAAAGAAAGTGTGTCACTATTCGAACAGAATGTTCCAATTATTGTTCTGAGTGTAAGACATCGAATATTCTCGATGATTGCGAGCGCTTCCCCAAATGTCCTCGGGGAGATGGATCGCTTGAAGCTTGGCCACCCAGACCGGTCTCAGCCCTTTAATGTATATTTTATATACCAATGATGTTAATAAATATGGAAGTCATTCATATTAAAAATTGATTGCTCAGAAAAAAAGGAGCCTATGTTATGAAAAGTCATACATTCGGAAATTGTGATTTTTTTGTTCTACATAAGTATGCATGAATAATTATTTCATGGATTTGAACATAAATATACGGATGAACTATACTCGTATAATATACGTGTTATCCGCGTATAATAAACGTGCTGTCAGCGTATAATATTCACGTGATAAATTAATCGAGGAATTTTAACGTCGTGTAAAATTTTACGGATATTTATTTTTAACAAACGTGACGTATTGTTCTTAATTGGAAATTTTCTTCAATTAATAATTATGAAGTTATTTATTATTGGAATGACTTTTTATGAAATTCGTTCACATTAAGTGCCTGCCTTCCTATTCCGAAACTGCAGACGTACAAGCAGAATATAATCAGTGGCAGAAAATTCGTATAAAATATTATGAATAATTTCACCGAATCGTACCGGTGTGGGAATTTTTCTAAGTGGTTTTGATTATGGAAGAATTAGAAATGAATTGCGTCGCAGCCATTTCAATCCTTCGATCAAATTCAATTGGAATGAAATCCTTAAAAATTCGAAGGAGGACAGACTAAGGAATTCACTTCGTGATTCTTACATTCGCATTCCATGTCATTAATTTTTTAATACAAGAACATAAGCAGGATCATATAATTTTTTAATTTTTCCGTTCATTTGTTCCTGACCTAGAGCTTCGTGAGCCGCATAAGCACACTACGTGTGAGTTCTCACTGCTCACCTCGATATTCAGGCGGGCCTTTTGAGCAGAGTTTGTTTAATGAGTGCCTGCGAACAATGACTTCAAGCTCGGTCTTCAAGTAGGTCTTTTTGATGAAATTTTGCCCTTCAATACCCAAACTCGATGGTAATGACTCTCGAAGATGATGCGGACAATAGTTTGTTAGGACAACACAATAGCTTTGTCATGTCTGAGATTCGTGGGTAACTCGCGTCATCGAGTGTTTCACAGCCGCGCGGCCTGCCAACTACAAAGCTCTAGTGTTCACTCCTATCGATATTTTATTCACCGAGGACTGAAATTTCGTATATGATTTTTATTTTTGTTTTTATGAAGCCTATCAACCGTACTAGGTTTTATTTGTAGATATAGGTTTTATTTGTAGAAATGGCAATGCGAGCGGCTTGCCAATCACAAAGCTCTAGTGTTCACTCCTATCGATATTTTATTCACCGAGGACTGAAATTTCGTATATGATTTTTTTTTGTTGTTTTTATGAAGCCTATCATCCGTACTAGTTTTTATTTGTAGATATAGATTTTATTTGTAGAAATGGCAATGCAAGCGACCTTCCAACTACAAAGCTCTAGTGTTCACTCCTATCGATATTTTATTCACCGAGGACCGAAATTTCGTATTTGATTTTTTTTTATGAAGCCTATCATCCGTACTAGGTTTTATTTGTAGATATAGATTTTATTTGTAGAAATGGCAATGCAAGCGGCCTTCTAACTACAAAGCTCTAGTGTTCACTCCTATCGATATTTTATTCACCGAGGACCTAAATTTCATATTTAAAATTTTCTTGCTTTTATGAAGCCCATAAACCTTACTAGGTTTTATTGGCAGATTTATGTTATATTTGTAGAAATGGCAAGTATAATATTATAGCTATGATATCGAACGCTCAATCGTCCAATGATCGAACAACCCAATTAGTTGGCTTCATGTTCGATTTACGGCGTGAGCAATTAGTTGTCAATCACGTAAATTTTGTCAGATAAAATTATTCGAATGGAAAGATAAGATAGCTCTATTGTAAAGCAACTTCTGAAAATAAGAATCTTACTCAATACTTGAGCGTGCAAATTGAGACCTTCTCTGGAAATGCAGAAATTTACATTAGTAAGTGACAACATAGGAGCGCCACAAAAGTATGGAAACTACAATGAACTATAATAGCAATGAAGCGTTATCACATAGCATCATATATATAACACATCACTTGCACTTACCGCATCCGTTTAATCCCATTGGACTAAACTTGGCTACTATGCCAGTAATAATATGAGAAACTTTCATTAAATTAAAATAAGCATGCATTTTTTAATAAATATATTTAGAATCTTTTTATTTAGGTGCTAAGGTGCGAAAATTCTCCCTACTTGATATTATTAACACTTGTATTGTTCTAAACTTTAATCTTGAATCAAATTATCCAAGCTTAAACTGTAATTGGCAATTGTACCTCACTCCCGATCTAACAATTTATTGCAATGTTTATATTAACATTTTTGTTGATTTGTGTGCAGATTTCCAAACTAGAGGAAGACATCTTCAGACTGCGCACAGAGCTGTCTGGCATGAAGGAAGCGTCGAGTCTGCAAGTGCACAGCCTTGAGGAGCAAATAGAGGAGAAGAACAGACAAATTAAGAGACTTGAGCACAGACTAGAAAACAAGGCTGATATTGCCGACAAACTGGGGTAAGTACGAATAAGAGATTAATTAATAAATTAAGAGACTCGAGCACAGACTAGAAAACAAGGCAGATATTGCCGACAAACTGGGGTAAGTACGAATTAGAGATTAATTAATAAATTAAGAGACTCGAGCACAGACTAGAAAACAAGGCAGATATTGCCGACAAACTGGGGTAAGTACGAATTAGAGATTAATTGACAAATTAAGAGACTCGAGCACAGATTAGAAAACAAAGCAGATATTGCCGACAAACTAGGGTAAGTACGAATACATTTGTGTTTATTCTTAATTTGCTTTAAATAATTTGAACGTTAAGTAAGAATTATAAATTAATCGACAAATCAAGAAACTCAAGCACAGATTAGAAAACAAGTCAAATATTGCCGACAAACTTGGGTAGGTAAGAATAAATTTGTGTTTTTTCTTCATTGTTTTATATGATTTTAAGTCTTGGTTAGAATTAGAGATTAATTGACAAATTAAGATAATCGAGCACAGATTAGAAAACAAGGCAGATATTGCCGATGAACTTGGGTAAGTATGAATAAATTTGTGTTTTTTCTTCATCTGCTTTAAATAATTTCAACTCTTAAAATTACAGATTAATAATTATGAATTATAGTTATTATTATCGCATTACAGGTTAAGCATAGATTAGAAAACAGTGCAGATATTGAGTGGAAACTTAATGAACTTGAGTGGGTACGAACGAAATTATGCTTTTCTCTCCTTCTTGTTTACACATCTGATTTTTCACTTGGAGTTTAATTTGTTTGTTAATTTAGATTGTTATTTCTTTCAAGAATTTATTTTAATTTTGAAAAATTAAAAGGCATGAGCACTGATTTGAAAGCAAATGAGGTGTTTTCAATAAACTTTTATGTGGACAAGTAAACTTAGGCATTTTTATTTATTCGTGTTTATTTATATTTGACGTTTTTCCTGTTCATTATTTTTATTTAATTCATCAGTTTAAGTTTGACATTTAATAGAAAATAATGAAACCATAGCATTCATCTATCAGTAAAAAATTTATTGTCGATAAGTTAAGATGAGTGCTAACAAACTAAATCTTCCTCTTATTTTTGTATTACCTCTCTGAACTCGGCTTTCTTTGTACTAGTTTCGCATGTTCGTACGTATAATTGAATTTATTTACGCTGCAATTAAGCATTCCAATAAAATTGAGCCCTGATCGAAAACTGAAAAATTTTTAGAACTACTTCAGAATTTAGTTTCTAACGTTGTACTGCAATATTTTTCAAGAAGCTTTTCTTATGCTTCACATTGTTCGGTTTGTAAAGAATAAAACTGGTTTGAAATTTTTCCTCTTTCAGTTTTGAATTTTTCTATGAAAACACAGACCCAGAATTCTAATTTTCCCGCAGTGAAACAAACTCGCCGTGTGTTTGTTTGTTTTCATTCAAAATGCGATACGTTTTGTAGCGGCTTTATCTGGTTCACGGGCTTTATTATGCGAAATCTATTCGGGCAAAATGTTGCGCCAATATTTACATACGACTTAACTTTAGCAATTAATCACGTTATTTAATAAGCGCAAGTTTCTAAAAAAAGTTTTTAAATTTCCTGACACAAGCAGAAGAACATTTTTTACAAATATAAAGTTGGTCTCTAGTGCTGAAATTTCCGTTTCTTTTCAAATCAGTAAATACTATGCAAATGGCAATCAATTAACGTATGCTGGATAATTATTATCACATAATAAAAAATTAGCCATGGATTACTTTTTGGTTAGTCACAGCTCTGTTGCAGTAGGAAGTTACCATAAAGCCAATACTGAAAAATATTTGCCTGATAATAGCAAAGATTCAAATTTTTGCACGAATAAAAATTGATCCAGAGCTCATGTTCTCATATCAGTTCATTCTTCATAAAAATGTCCATTCAAGTTGTCTTTGGCTGTGCAGCGAGATTGGCTTGCGCTCCCCCTGCAAATTCGTACACAGAGAACGAGCGCCAGCGAACTGGTATCAGAAGGTCCATCAGTTCCCGTTGGTTTATCAAAGTCTTCGCTAATGACGAACCCTCGAAGTAACGACAATAAAACGCGCCGAACAGCACGCCGTTTCCCCTCCTTGGGTCACATTCGTACATTCAATACCTTTCGTAAATTCAATACCTTTCGTAAATTCAATGCCTTTCGTACATTCAATGCCTTTCGTACATTCAATAATTTTAGTACATTCAATACCTTTCGTAAATTCAATACCTTTCGTAAATTCAATACCTTTCGTAAATTCAATGCCTTTCGTACATTCAATAATTTTCGTACATTCAATACCTTTCGTACATTCAATACCTTTCGTGCATTCAATACATTTCGTACATTCAATACCTTTCGTACATTCAATAACTTTCATACATTCAATACATTTCGTCAATTCAATACCTTTCGTACAATCAATACCTTTCGTACATTCAATACATTTCGTACATTCACTGCCTTTCGTACATTCAATACCTTTCGTACATTCAATAACTTTCGTACATTCAATACATTTCGTACATTCAATACCTTTCATGCATTCAGTACCTTTCGTACATTTAATTCCTTTCGTTCATTAATTCAATACCTTTCGTTCATTCAATACCTGGTCGATGCCCTGGCCTCCATCAGGGTTAAAAATTTCACGTCAACAATGTTACAATTAATATTCTATGTGCATGTGAAACCTAGGAAATTGCCGTGTGCGAAACCTCTCCTTCAGGCACGTTTTGTTTCTTCGTAGCTGCACTTCATGAAAACACGGAACTAAATTACCCTTTAAATTATTACATGATTGACTTATGCGTACTTATAACAATTATTCAGCTTACTTTGGATGTTTTTGAAATTAGAAGTTTCGAGTTCCGATATATCGTCGATTACATTGTACGGCTGAAATATGAGCGGTCTCTAATCGCTAATCCTGTTGTAGAAGAAAATAATCTCTTGGGTGGATAATCTTGGATTCGTTCATACCATTTCTTGGTTACCTAGTGAAGGTCTTTTCAAAATATTGCTTTAACGAGTCAGATGTTTTATTGTTTTCGATTCGTAGTGAAGCCAATCGACATAATTTTCCGCAATCTGAACACCACTTATGATGATTAAGCCAAATTCGAGTGCTTGACTCGCTTCTCAGTGACCACCAGACGGCGGTCTATGGATATGTCACCTATAACATCAACCATCATGTTCACCTGAGGAAAAATCAATTCCCGACAAGGATGACTCCGATGCCGTTTGGTCACAGATTGTTTCCCTTTTCCCTCCGATATGTTCTCGTTGAAACGAGAATCCCTTCCGTCGCAAGGCATTGCATTATCAGCTTGAGAGCCACAATGAGACTCCACTCGAGAGGAAACACAAGTTATTTATCTAGAAGCAGTCATGCCTGAATGCTCGATGTGCGATATCGCCATCCACTGGTGCTCACTCGTCCCCTACAAGTCCTATTGAAGGATTGCACGGCATAAGGTTCTCCTTGGTTGGTCCCACTTCAAAGCAGTTCAAGTTACTCCTAGTGTCATCATAATTTGTGTTGGGATATTGCCATCATATTGGCTACCAGGGATTTATATATAAAATATTCGTTCAACGCTAGTGTTTTTGGATCAATCGATGATCCTTCCACAAGATACCTACCTAATCTAGAATGTCGACTGCTCCTCAGTTAAAAAAACATTTCCCTAACAATATTTCACAGACTTCATCAAATTTAGCAATTTTTTTCTAAAAATATCTTGTTATTCTCCAAATATTATTCCTAATTTAACTTCAGTAACGGAATGATTGTTGATACAATAATCCAGCGTCTTTTCTAGTATCCGGATTTCTTGAGAATCTATCAACATGTAAGGACAATCGTGGTACTATAATGGACGTTTGTCATCAACAACGTCGGCACTGGACATTGTGTCGACCAGGAGTTGATGTATACAAGACTTTTATGACTTTACCAACGCCCTCAATTAGCGACTCATGTAACGGAAGCGGTGCTTCTTTGTAGCGTATTGCGAGCATAAATGTTTTGCCTCCAGATCGCTTGCTTGGCTTCAAATTTCCGCGTTGAGGCAAGATTTGTGCAAGTCTTTAGCAATCATTCTTCCCCATCACGTATGCATTCTAATTTACGATCAAACCTTCGTTTACCAATTTAAAAAAAAAAACAATATAAACCCCAATTTCGTGCAATTATTGCTACTTTTAATTAAGCCCAGTTCTCATGTTACTAAAAATTTATTTAATTATTGTTAGATTGTCTTCTGTTTTTCCGTAACTTATCTCACATTATCGAGAGAGTTTTCAAGTAATGATTTATACTGAATTGTTTATTTTTCTTCCATTACGATCGCACTGAATATGCTAGACGTGTGTTCATGTTAGTTGTGCATGACTTTCCTTTATTCAAGAGCACGAATAAGTTGATTGCTATAAGTTCTGCAGCCCCAGTTGCTTATTAATTGGAAACCTAAGAGGTCTATTATATCAAAGAGCGAGGTTTTACGAGATTCATAACTTTGATGGTATTTACTAAACACTTTGCCCGCTACGTGACTTGGTAACTAACGAGTTTATTCCTTTGATTGAAGATTTACAAACAGTTTCACCAGAACGATCGCTGCAATATAACCCGTATTCGTTGACATTAACTTCAATAGTCTATTTTCTTTATGTTTAAAAACTATGTAATTTTTCTAACGTACGAAATGTATTGGACAATTTCATTCGAAAATTATTCAATATTGCAGCTGTGTCAAAATATTCTTGATGATCTTTGGCTTCACACTGGATGATATTATGAGATTTATTTAATTATCATTGACCTGCCTTTTCAAGTTCATGAATGCTCGCTTTTTTATAATGTAACTACTCATAAATATAATCAAGCAACCACCGATACTATTAACAAAATATTTTAAATTAGTGCTTATGGCGTAACTCGATCGATACTGATTACAATATTTTCTATATTTTTCATCAACACTGCATGTCGGA